CTTCACACAGTTACCATTTTCTCTCCTATTAAGTTCTTTAACAGTTAGCTAATGCTATATAACAAACTACCCCAAACCTTAGTGGTTTAAAATGACAACTATCTATTTCACTTATGTTTTTATTGGTTGGTTACCTGAATTAGACTCAGGTGGGCTCCCTCAGGTGTCAGTGATCATCTCTGGGTGGGTAGGGGGCTTTGCTGATCCTGCCTGGGTACCTCACATGGCTGGGGTCTTGGTGGGGACAACTGGTCTGCTTGGCTCTGGGCCCTGTGGTCTCTGTCCTCCAGCAGGCTGGCTCAGGCTTATCCCCATAGCAGAGTGATGTTCGGATAGGAAAAGAAGAGCACAAGGTTTCTTGAGGTCCAGGCTCTGAACAAGGACAGTGTGACTTCCTTCACCTTCTATTGGCCTAAGCAAGTCACAACGTGAACCCAGATTCAAGGCAGGGAAGCAGACTCCCCCTCTTTGTGGGAGGAGCTACAAAGCATGCAGGGAGGGCAACTGTGGCCATTTTGGCAATCCATCTACTAATTTCTGGGGAATATTGTCAACATACCAAGTCCTTGAAACAGAAAAGCTGAGTGTTGTAGTGTAGGTCCCTTAAGTGCTCCTTAGCAGGAGGTTCCCCAAAGCATGGCTGTCTAGGCCCCAGAGTACCCTGAGGTTTATGAAATAGTCCTTTGAGTTGTGACTTACAGCTTCTTCTGTCTTCCTCAGATCCGCTCCCCCTGCTCCCCCTGGCTGCCCTGCTGCCATGTATCCAGGGGCCAGGTTGGGGGCAGAGTTGAGTGACAATGTCACCTCCCTTCTGTCAACCAAAGCTTTGTTGCTAGACCAAACTTGGTTTCTTTTTTCCTTAGAATGAAAATGATCTCTAAGGAGAGCCTTTTTCACCTCTCAAACAGGTTTCCAGCCAGCCCACCATGCTAACATGCCAGACTCCATGTCTAGATATATTTGGGTCCAGTGGTACCTCACTGAAGCTTCCATTTTTCTCTATAATGCATTACATACTCCTTTGTCGATTCTCACTTCCTAGATGCAGAGAGAGAGAGAGAGAGAAAAAAGGAGTCTGATGAAATAGTTTAACCAGTCCCTCTGGTCTCTCTAGGCAAAAACTCCCAGAGTTCTTCCTTCCTTCCTTCCAAGCTCTCTCCAAGAAGGATCTTTGGAGGAGGTTCTCTCTTATCTTCTCTTTATGGTGACACATGAGACCAGTGCCGCCCCCCTACCTGGGGGCTGCTCTGGATCATCCCTTGAAAGCATAATGCTGAGGGCTGGCCCCATTGCTGAGTGCGTGGCTGTGTCTACTGCTGCTGCCTGCCATTTGTGGACCTCATGGGCTGGATGACCCATGCTCCCTTGGAGCTCAGCAGTGCTCCTGACCTCCCCAGTGCTCCCTCTGCCTCCCCATGAAGTCCTCCCGCCAGCCCTTGACCTGGCCTCCGGGGCTGACTTGCCCCTCTGCATGCCGGGCCTTGGAGCCCAGGATTTGTGTGCTCTGTGTCACACCCCTCAGCCCACTTCTCATCCCAGTCTCACTGTGGCGGACAGCTCCATACCAGCAACTTGTCCCACCTCAAGTGATGAAGGCAGGGGCTCCTGTTTTCCTGACTCAGATGTTTCCTTGAGAATGAGGAAGCCCACCCAGCCGGGAAATAAGGAGAGGTAAGCTCTCCTGGGAGTAATCCTCAACTGGGGGGGATAAGATAAATGCCCCGGCCCCCAACCTTCAGAGGGGACACTTCTGAGGGTCCTCAGAGGGATCCCAGGGGATTGGAGCTCCTTATTAGCTTCTCCTCTTATCTCACTTTCCTGCTTTCCGGGATCAATTCCTAAGTAAATGACCTGCACCCAAGTCCTTGTCTCAGGTTCCATTTTTGAGAAAAACTAAGACAGGCTCTGTGGGAGGCCTACAGCTCACAGTCTAGCTTCTGATGTCCCTGGTCCTTGGGAGCGGGTGGGCTATTTTGCATCATGTCTTTGTCACTCAGGAATTGTGGGTGACCCCTCATCCTACCTCTGTGTAAGCATGGTGACCCACTAAGTTGACCTTAATGAGGCTGCCCCCTCCCCTGGGTCAGTGCCTGAGAACAGAGGAGTAGGGGATAGGCAGCCAGGGTGGCAGTCTCCTCTGTTCAACCCCCAGAACTCTCCTGACTCCTTCGACAAACTTGATCACTCTGGTCCAAGGTAATAAACCAGGAAGATGTGGCATTTCTGACCACTTGCGTCCCCTGCGTCTTCCTCTCTTCTCCCAGTGATTCTGGGAAACAGGACGGTGGGCTTTGGGCCTCCAGGTCCTCCTTTGCCTATCTTCCTTCTCCCCAGGCATAAAGTAGGACTCAGATCTAGTGGCAAAGCCTGCCTCTCAACATGTTATACAGGGACACTAAAGAATTTGGAAAACCATTTTCTCTCTGGCCTTGCTTCTTGACATCCCTGCCACTGTTTTGCTAAAGAGAAAAGAAGTCAGCTTTGAGACTCTGAGCTCATCAGTGGCTTCCTTGCTCTCTAAACTTGTGCTGTCCCAATACAGTAGCCACAAGACACATATGGTTATTGAGCACTTGAAATACGGCTAGTGCCACTGAAGAACTGAATTTTACATTTTTTAATCTTAACTAATTAAAATTCAAAAATGGATACTCAATTCAGTAATTGGGAAATTTTTAAACATGTTTGGAACAACTAGTGTATGTGAATCTACTTTTTCAGGTGGAAATTTTATAAAACCTAATACAGATCAAGTATTTTTGGTGAAAATTTAATGACCAAAGTGAAATGTACTGAAGTGTAAATACATAGATTTCAGCCTTAGTACAAACATAGGATATAAAATACCTCATGAATAATTTCTTTATATTGTTTATATATTGACATGGTAATATTTTATATATACCAGGTTAAGTTAATTTCACTTATTTTTTTCTGCTATTTTTAAAGTGGCTAAACATTTTTATTGAGGTATATACCTCAGACTACCCAAATCTTGTTGTACAGCTTGATGAATTTTGACATGTGTATACAGCTATGTAACCATCATTCAGATCAAGATATCAAACCTTGTCACTAATTTTTTTCCCCTTCACCAATTTCCCCCATCCCTCCGCCCCACTCTCCTGTGGCAACCACAGCCTGTTCTCTGTGTTTATGAATCTATTTCTGTTTTGTTTTTGCTTGTTCTGTTGGTGCCTAGACCTAGAGGTATTGTGGCTACCAAGTTTCAAATTGCACTTTAGGTTCACATTGTATTCCTACTGGAGAACTAGTTCTAGAGAATGCTTATCTGCTGTTTCCCTGGGGCCATGTGCCTCCTGGCCCATACCCCAGGGGCAGAAGGCTGCAAGAAAACATGTTTTAAGTGTGGGCTTTAATCTATCAGTTTAATAGTTGCAAAATATTATACCTATTACAGATATATTGTCCCTGTGCTCCCTTGAAGAATAAGGACCTGTTCCTTTCTGTCTTGTGGCTTTTGTAAGGGGAAACTGATGAAAAGAAAGATGTTTTCTAGTGTCTTGAATAAATTAAATCAATCAATTTATTCACCAAGATAGAAATATAAGTAAAGGGGATGGGTTTTCTTTAAAGCAGGGCCTAGGGTTAGGGTTTGTGACAGCCTGTAAGACAATGTGACTCCCCCCCCCAGATGATTGGTGATGAGATGGTCAGCTGACCTACAGTGGGCCAATGAGCTGCTCTCCTGGGAGACTGGTGTAGAGGCTAAAGGGTCTAGTTGGCCCTGGCTGCTTACTTCAACAGGGGAGTTCCAAACCCCAGTGAATGGAGTGCTGGCCATCTTTTGTCATGTGTCTGGGTAGCAGGGAAGACCAGTCTGTGAGTTATCCTCAGAGACTTCCCGGGTAACTGGAAGCCTTTCAGGCTCTGGCTTTTTCTCTCACTGAGCTCTTCCTGCAGTTCTGACCTGAGGTTGCAGGGGAACCTCCATGTTCTCTGTGTACATTCGAAGGAAGCTTAACTAATACACGGTAGTGGCTGGGGTGAGTGGGTTTTGGTGGATTAATGGGAGAGATTTGGGTTAGAAGCTCAAAGGGAGAGAACCAAAAGATAATTTCTTTTCTATAGAAAAAGCCGACCAGTGGACTCCATGTGCCGGGGTAGCAGACACAGTTTTTTCAGCACCACCCTACAGCTGCATTTTTGGGTTCAAAGGCTTCTGTGGCTTGCCCCGGGAAGCAGATCACCATTTATAACATTGTTTCTAAGGGAGACACATTCCTAGATCCAAACAATGAGTTTAGTAAAGAATGTTTGGCTTCCAGGAGGGATGAGCTGATTCGGCTCTACCCTGGGGGTTGGCTACCCATTAAGTTTTAGGCCCTTTTCCCTTTTGGCTTGGGGACCGACTCTGCAGGGTTGGGGTATGTACGTGGGGGTCGAATTCTCACAAAAGGGAGGGTACAGATGAGGGGAGCTGCGTTCCTGTGCTCTAGGCTTCCTGTGCGCTGAGAACCCCCGGATGTCCAGCGATGGATAAGAGGGGGAGAGGTGAGAGGTGGACAAAGAAACTTGGCCTCCTTCACATCGCGGTCACATCTGCTCACCCGTGAAGTCTTAAGGGGCCTGGTTTAGCCCCTGCTCAGCTCAAACCCTTTTTGGAATAAGCTAGGGTGTTAGGGAGAAAACCCCACATCCTCTGCCTGGGAAATTCAGGGCGCTCTCAGTGGGCTCCATGAGGCAGCGTGACTGTTCCCTGGGAGTGGCTGTCACAGCGCGGGGCGAGCCGGGGGGTCTGGGCCAAGACTCCATCCAGCTGGTAAAGGGCAGGGGCAAAGGGGGTGAGGGAACCGGCTCTTCCTCCTCACCCCGCACTCCTGCTCCCTCTTCTAGCCCGGAAGAGGCGCTGGCAGCCGGAGCCCAGACTCGCAGGCCGGGGAAGGGGGGACGCGCAGCCACAGCTTTGTCTGCGAGGGAGGGGAGGAGCTCCGTCCCCCGCGGGAGGGGAGGAGGGGAGACTGCGAGAAGCGAGGGACGGCGGCAAAGGGGAGGAAGAAAGGCGAGGGGAGCGGAGTCGGGAGGAGAGGGAGAGCTAGAGAAAGGCGGGAGCGGGGACCCTCAAACCCGGTAGGGACGGAGAAAGGCGGAGGGGCGGCGGGGGAGCGAGGAGGGCGGGGCGCCCGAACCCCAATCGCGAGGCTGCCGCCAGCCCGGCGGTGCTGAATTTGAGCTGGGCCCGCCGAGCGCGGACCCAGGCGCGGGCTGGAGCTGCGCCCCCGGCCGGGACACCCCCACTTTCCAACTCCACCGTCCCCGCCGCCCCGGACGCAGGCAAGGCTCGGGACGCAGGGCTGCGGGTGCGGGATGCTGGGCGCAAGGTGCCGGGCACCGCGTGGTGCTCTCTCTTCTGCCTCCCTCCCGTCTCGCCGAAAGTTTTCCCGCGGTGTCCCCTGCAGCGTACAGGTCAGCCCCACGGTGCTCGCCTGCCCCTGGTCTCCGCCCCCCTCCTCCGGCCGCCAGCGTGTGGAACCCGCCAATCCACCTTCCCGCCAGAGAAAGTTGTCGCTCCAGGCTGGGCTTTGCCCTCCTACCCATGGGGATCCTTCCTTCTCTCCCCGCCGAGGGCTGCGGCAGGAAGGCGCCCCCATCCCATCCCCGGGGTTCCCCGGACTCCCTGGCGGGGAGGGGCCGGGCGGCAGGTGCAGGGATGGCAGGCTCCGACGGCCCAGGGGAGTGCCCGACCCCAGTCCGGTCCCCTTCTTCCCTGGCCTTCTGACGGTTCCCCAGAGGCGAGTTCTAGCACCAGCGTGGGTCGGCGGCGCGCCCGAGGCTCCCTCTGCCTACAGAAGGGCGCGGGGCGTGCAGGGGCCCTGGGTCTCATGGCACTTCCCCTTTGCGGTCAGCCCGCCCGCCTACGGAAATGGTGTCTGAGGCCTTTGGGGACCCGGGCTTTGCATTCTCTCCCGCCGGAGAGAGGCAGGTGCAGTGGGCGGACCCAAGCCACTTCTGCATTTTGAGCGCCTGCTTAGCCCTCAGTTCTTAGCCCAAGAGCCCTGGGGACAGCACAGGGCCGTGGTGGCCTGGAAGGGAGGTGGAGGGCTCCATCTTACCCTACGGCTCTCTGTGGGTTCTGGGTCCATAGCACCTCTGCGCCTCAGCGACAGGAGGTGCCGAGTGCCAGGCTTATCAATGCTACCATGCACTTTATTTCCAGGTGACCGGAATCCCTAGGACGGGTTCTTCCAGAGGACAGAGGCTGTGCCTAGAGCCGGCTGGAATTACAGTAAGTTCCTTGCATGTGGTGAATGAATGTTTGAACCAATGAGCAGACAAATAATAATTTGGCCTGGAGCAGGACTAAGTTCCTGCCACAGTTGATCTTGGTACAATGGCAGGAAAGAATTAGAAACAATGATTTTTTTCAACAGCTGTGAGACGGAGCCAGGGGCCTTCTTTCCAGAGCATCTGGATGAAGAATCTGGGATTGGATTTATTTTACTTATCAATCTGCATTTACTTACTGGGAAGTTTTTCTGCTGCTTGTCTGAAGAATTAAATAAACTTCTCAGGGCTAAGATACATTGGGTTGTTTGAGGAGAGTCCCCCCACCTTTTTTTTTTTTTAGCTTGTGCCCAAATGCAGTGTCCCACGAACTAGATGTGGAGTCAGCCTTGGAGGTGCCTCTTTGGATGTGGGACCATGAGTGTGGGCACCAACTGTACTGTCCCTCTGGATGGGTCCTCCTGATACTGGGAACTGTGGCAAGGCAGTCCAGTGGGCCCTGGGGGCCTCAGATGATGGCTGAGCTCAGGGAAGTTGGGTAGTTGTGGAAAGAGGATAGTTTTGCTCTGGACAAAGGAGATGGAGGCCCAGCACACAGCCTGCTCGGGTATCTGGGAGTGAGGGTGGGGAAAGTTTGGGATTCCCTGTGCAAGGAGGCTGGAGGTGGGTCTGCTTCTCCTTCAGAAGATAGGGGATCAGAGGTGGACTTTTGGGAAACAGGATAACCTTTGGGGTGTAGCCTTGACCTATCCATGCTCCTTTGTAGTCATTTTTATGTGGTGAAATCTGGTTGGAATAATTGAGGGGTCCCTTTGGGGACCCTGGCTGAGTGGAGGCCAGGAGATCTGAGGCCCCAGTCATGCCCTCCTCCAGGGAATGGTGGGGGTGTGCCCACTGCATGTGGCTCGGGGACCAGGGTGGGTGCCGTCCCTGCACCTCAGTCCCTGCAGCCTATAGCCTCCCCACCTTCCTAAGGTGGTCGCACTTCTTCCCTGGGGCTCCAGAGTCTACCTCTGTATTTCTGTATGTTTCTGTTTGAAGGTTCAGGCCCTCTCTCCAGTTTGTATTGTAAGAGTTGGTCCAAGGTGGTAGATGACCCTACACCTTGTTGTCAGTCCCTCTTAGACCTCTGGCCTGCCTGAGACCTCTCAGTCATCCACCGGTTTTGCTTTGATTTCTTGGTCTATTTCCCGGTGCCCTGGAGATACATTTCATGTCTGCCTTCTGTGCGTGAGCTGCTTAGCAATGGCTGAGTGAGTTGGCTGGAGAGGTGCCCAGGACCGCACATCCTGGCCCCTCTGCTGGAGTGCCAAGAGCTTGACTGCCGGACTGCCAGAAAGGGGTCCTGTCACCAAAGCACAAAAGAACCTTGGCCTGATTATTGCCTTCAGCCCTCCCTAGGATACTTCGACAGGAAGTGTCCTCTCTGGGAAAGGGATGTGGAGGTGGAACCAGATTGCCAGAGAATCCCAAGGAGTGGCTGAGAGACATACAAGATGATCCAATGTTTTGTTGCCCTTGTCTAGCTTGGATTAATACTTAGTCTATAGGCACAGACCTGATCATCTACATTTGCCCTCTTACAGCACTAAATTATGCTTTCTACCTTTGTCTTGCATCTACCTACCACTTCAGCATTTTATTAAAAAAAATAATAATAATAATAAGGGAGAAATGTGGGATTCACATATAAATCAAGTATAAAAATCAAACGAATAATCATATCTGACTTGACTGTTTATAGTTCATGATGCGTGATCAAAACTGAAAGTTTCTGTGATATGACTGCCCTTGCACTGTTCACCATGTAAGAACTTATTCACTATGTAAGAACTTGTTCGTTATGCTTCAGAAGATTGGAGACTGTTGAGAATTAGGCTTGGGGTTGATTAATGATTGTGCATTGAGTCCCCTATACAGAATTTTATTGTTGTTAACAACCATTTGATGAATAAATATGAGAGATGCCCTCTCAAAAAAAAAAAAAAAAGATGATCCAAGAGCTGTCCCTGGACTTGCTTGTGCCTCCCCTTCTCTCCTCCTCTCCCCCAGAGAGAGAAACTGGGCAGATCTCAGCAGCGTACTTGGAATAGAGCAAGGCATCCAGTCTCTGTCTTCAAGGCATAGTTGCTGGGAGCGGCTGCAGCTGGGTTTGTAAAACTAAGGCAGTGGCCCCCATCTGCCCCCTGCCCACCCTTCCCACCACTCTTCACAGCATGGTCCAGTGATTTATTCCAGTAACACACTGTCCTATTTAAACACCTCCCTGTCTGTCCAGAGGAGTTTTAAATATGTTCTGAAGGTGGAGGGAGCCCCCACAGGCCTGCAGTAGCTGTGTCATGTGTTTGGCCTGCTGTGGATTCCCATGAAGGATGTGTCTGTGTTGAGGAGGTGCTGGGGACAGAGTAGGAGGCACAGTAAACAGGGGCAACCTCCAGGCTCGAGTCATTTTTAATCATCCCTGTGATGGCCAACTCTGGAGCCTGTAACACAGGCTGACACAGCCGCTTGGGGTGACAGCCTGGGGCTGCAGAACTCCTCCCCAAGGCAGCTGTGGCTGACGCAGAGAGGGAAACCTCTCACAGCCGAGGGGATCAGAGAGGGCATCTGGCTGATTCCCTAGGGCTGGGCAAAAGGACTTAAAAGGGCTTTGCCTATTCCTTCTATTGATAAAAACTGGCAAAGAGATACCTCATACTTTCCTTGGACATGTCAACCCAAAGTGATTTGGCAAAGTAGGTTCAGTTCACCAGCATGGTGCTTTACCCATAGTTGGCACTCAGTTATGTGTTTGAATTCCACTAATTTCCAAAAGAGTAATGAAGAGAGTATTCAATTTGGAGTTTGAGTGGCATTCTGCTGTTTTCTAGCTCAGTGGAATAGATACCGTCAGCATCCTTCCCATGTTCTACTGGCCTCAACCAGGACTGATGGTAAGAGGTGGAGAAATACTCCAGCTCCCTCCCTTCTCTGTTGGGGTAACCGAGGGGCAGAGATGCTGAGCAGGATCAAACCTTGCTTCCTTTCTTTCCCACCCTCTCCCACTTGCACCTGAATCCTTGTTTTAGGGTCAACTTCTGGGGAAACCAATCTAAGATGCTTTTAATCTGTAGTTAAAAAGTCATTTACAGACTCTGAGTCTGCTTCCCCGACTGAGGATGGAAATGATAACTACCTGACAGTATATTGTGAGATGTGCTCAGGCGGGGGTCTGACACCCAGCAAGCTTTCGGGCAAACATTTGCTGCTCACTGATTGCTATGGAAGAGGCAGGGTTATTGCCGGACCACAGAGTATTCAGTGCTTTGGAGAGAGAGGCTTTCTTTAGACTAGGTAAGAAAACCCAGTTCCCCTGCTCACGGCTTTCACATCTAGGTTGTGACCAGTGATGGGATGATAAATCTTTAACAACTGGCTCTCCAGGGGGTAAGAAAAGCCCCACTTTGCGGTGGGTGTTGATTTCTCTAGTGTAAATACTCCCACTGTGGCTAGTTTCAAGCTACCAACATGGCATCACTACACCTAAGCTGAGAAGAGATGTACACAGTCAGCCTTGAGAGGTGGCAGGAGCCGCTCCAGCGCACACCTGGCTGTCCAGTACTGACCTGGGAGGGGACCTCAGGGGCCTTAATTTCCAATTTTGTGTACAGGGTGAGGAGGATAAGAACTGTACTAGGTGTCCAAAATCTGGAGTATGTTTAAGCTCCACCCTTGAACCACCAGCTGAATCACTGTGTGAGACACATCTGGGGTTCATTTAAAGATTATTGAAATGTTTATCTATGAGTCTTTCTTGGCCTCAGTTTCCCCATCTCCCAGGCAAGGGATTTAGAAGAGCCCATTGCATTCTCCTGTCCACACAAGAATAAAACCTTTAACAAAAGAAAACCTTGGATGTGTCCACATTTGTGTTGCCCACCATGGGGTACCCAGCACTGGGCCCTCCTGGAGTTTTGTTACAGTCTTTCCCACTGGCACCAGACAATTCAGTAGACATAAACCCAGGAAAATTCCACCTTCTTTGGGTACCAGTTTCACTTCATGACATAGGCACGTATGTCCTCACCTGCGGGGTGAGTAGGGAGGAGCTGGTTTCTTATGGGAAGGACATCCCTGCTTTCCAGAACTCCTAGGCAATGCCACAGATACCCAAGTGGAATCCAAGAAAAGTCCACATGGAGAAAGAGACTTTCCTGTGGCAGAATTCAACATCCTTGGTGTGTTTTACTCATCGTGCTCTGCTGACAGTCCCCCCTGAGGGAGTCTGGATCAGCAATTCCACCTGTAGGAATTCTTATCCTATGGATATAATTGGACAAGTGCAGAAAAAAATATACATGGGGATGTCCCTTGTCGCATTATTTGTAATAATAACAACAAAATGGAGACAAATACCCAACTTGATAATTACGATGTATCTATACATAGGCATACCATGTGGCTACAACTATAGGATAATTGTTGTACCTCTATTAACATGGGAAAAGGTGCTGAAGAAGCAGGTTACCAAACAGTGTGCTGTTTTTGTAAACTCTTATCATCCATGTATATTTGCCTCTGGAAGGATTGATGGCAAAATGTTAATAGTGATCATCTCTGAGCGGTGGAATTTGGGGAGATAGTGATCTTAATCTTTTTTTGATACTAAAACATTTTTAGATGTTTAATTATGGGGAAATAGACATAAAATTTACCCTTTCAATCATTTTTAAGTGTGTGATTCAGGGGCTGTTTAGTCTGTTCAGGCTTCTAGGACAAAATATCACAGACTGAGTGACTTACAAACAACAGAGATTTATTTTTTACAGTCTGGTGGCTGGAAGCCCAAGGTCAGGGTGTCAGCAGGGTCAGGCAAGGGCCCTCTTCCGGAGGGCAGACTTCTTATGTCCTTATGTGGCAAAGGGGTGAGGGAACTCTCTGGGGAACTCTGCAGGGTTTCCTTTATGGAGGTACCCATCCCATTCATGGAGCTCCACCTTAAAGGCTCCACTTCTTAATACC